GAAGGCCGTAAAAGCCATTGATATGGGCCTTCATGCCTCGATAATACGACTGAGCCCGCTGATACACGCATGAGAGCAGCGGTGTAAATGGTGAGTAGCCTCTGTGACCCCCCCTTGGAAAAATCCTGGCTACGCCCCTGCAAACCTAATCCCTAAGGGTCGTTTTCTTTATGTTCACAGGTCGGAGCTACCAAAGTTGTGTTCGCATATCACGACGATGATCCAGCCTCAGAATCGGATATAAAGTATCACACGTTCAGAGGAAGCAGGACACTAATGCTTCTTAACAGTATGGATAAAAGAAACATCAACGAAACAAGCTGGCTCTCCTTTACTGTAACTACTAACAACGTAAGAAGTAATCATTTCTTGCATCACATTCTCACATTACGTCGAAGCCTGAATTTTTTATCACACTTTTTTACAGGAACGAAGAAACCGTGCTTCGTTTTCAACATGCACAAGTGATCTCGCAGCTAAGCTGGTAGAAGTGCCAAACTAGTTACTTGAAGGCATGGGTTCGCATCCCGAGGAATTTTTATTCTCTGAGGCCTGTTTTCTGTAGTTTCTTAAATCGCAATTCATTCAGCTAAAGGATCAAATTTTTACTTACACTTTTATACTAATGATTTGAGAACGTTTTTGACTGTGTTTACATGATTTAGGATTTTAAATCAAGCTGTCTGATTTTCTTTAAAGGTTACAATCCCTACGAAGGAAACAACTTACTGGTGCTCTCTGATAAAAGCTCCCGAACTGCAATCCAAACATCATGTCACAAAGGTATTTACTTGTAATTATTCTGGAAAAATTGGATATTACTGCTCTTCAACTTCAGCTCGAAAGTGAAAAATAAAAGAAATTAATCAGTCATAGCTATTGAAAAATATGAACAGTGCAACTGAACCACTTCTAAACATACTACTGATGAATTGCTCTGAATTGTCCCTGTATGTCACTTGAATTTCTCTTGGTGTCGTACAATCCAAGCATAAGCACGTACTTCACATGAGATCAACCTCGCGTTGCACGCTCGTTCAGTTTGGATTAAACAACCGCATTACTTCCTTAAATATATTCTAATCAGTGCGGCCTCCTTGCCTGGGAATTCCTCTTGCGTCAATTCATCTGTTGATTTTATTTTAAAAATTACGACTAAGATGGAGATTTGCTTGACTGTACAAAAGTTAGGAAGACATCTACCTTTAATTTCTTATCCTCACGCACTAGTCACAATCATGAAATAGTCTGGAACTTTTTATTTCCTTTTTTTTTCAGGTCGAACCGCTTGTACAGAAAGGCAATGAAGGTTTTGTTCACCATCTTATTCTTTACGAATGCGAAGGAAACTATACTGAAAGTGATTATGATCAGGGCAAGGACTGCATGGACACAGCTAACATGCCGTATGCTAGATGCCGAGATGCCAGTATCGTCGTTGCATGGGCTGTAGGAGGAGAGGTAAAAACTAAATTTCGTAGAACCTGTTACTTCACGTGATTCCACGGTATTGCACTTTGCATCCTGCACTGCAAATAACATCACGTCATTAAGCAAATAAGTGCGCGTTCGTGTGCGTGCATTACGAGGGCATTGTGTTTTTTTTAATTAATGGTTGAGGTAAATAGGTTCGATAGTCTTTTTCTCTGAAACAAACAAGGTGATCTCTCTTTTTTCATTATAGATTTGCCAATGAAAAGAGTTAAAAAGCTTTTTTATTCTTTAAGGTGGCCATTTACAATTTCGACCTAGTTGATATAACCAAATTACCTTGTTACCCCCACCGACGCAGGACCACAGTTTCCTCAGAAACTTTCACCCTTTATTCATCTATCTTATTTCATTACATAATCTTGCTATACATGTTATCCCTTAAATAAGAAAAAGTGAAAAAATCAATGAGAAGTAAAAAAAAAAATTATAATAAATAAGTAGCTTAAAGCGTGCACGAAGGCCATTACTCGAATACGCAAATTATGACCTCGAAATCAACGACTCGAGGAATGTTTTAAGTCGATTTCTGGTTTAAAGTGCATTAATTAGAAGAGCAAAATCTTTGTGGACTGACGATCAACTCGTCGCATTGGAACCTTTTGCCACGCGTTTTTAATAGCTTTAGATGCAAACAAATCATATTTGTTTCCGCACTTAGCGGTCTCGAAAGTAAGCAGGCGGCCTCTTAATGACTTACAGTAAGTCACTAAAGAGCTTTCGATTCTGTCTTTTAGTGATAGAGCAGCGAAGTGCGAAATCCGAAGACCTGTGCGTCGATTTCTCGAACAATCCCTGCTCAGAATTTACCATGATCTTTCTATGTTCAGGAATTACTGTGTCATTTTACTCTATTTTTTATTTTATACTTACTGTTCTTTTTTAACAGGCGTTTTATTACCCTTTGCACGCGGGATTTCCTCTTGGCGCAGATGATTCACCCAAGAATTTCCTGTTGGAAATGCATTATGACAATCCAAGCAATACACCAGGTATGGTGTTTATAATTGTCTGAAACTTGCTTGATAAAGTGAGTCTCATTGAGGTATAAGTGAGTTTTGTTTTGATTCAGTGAGTTGAAGAAGAATTTATTCAAATACCACTTTGTTTCCCTGGCCTTTTGTGGTTTTGCCGCTGAGGAATGCGTACTCTTTTTTTTTCCCGTAGCAGCCATCCTAGATTTGTTATGTTTTGAGCTCGAAATAAATTATTTTATTCGACGACTTCTTCCTGCTTATTCAACTGTTCTGGTATCGGGAACAGTGACTGAGTAAAAATGATCTGAAGTCAAATGTAGCCCATTGCCTGTAAAAGGTGGCAGACGTTTCCTTGTAGATTAGACAAAGGAATTTGGGGTTTTATCACACACCTAATCTAATAAAGCTGTCTCTTTTGACTAAATTGTTTTCTGGATACTGATGTGGTATTTTAGTATTTTACCCGGGATGCTGAATGTGGATCACACTTGAGAAGAAAGTTAGAGAGTCTAATTAAACATTGTGTCTTCAACGATAATTCCCCAGCGGCGAGAACATTGAACCTATTTCCTCGCGCAAGTGTTTGTTTTCGACTGCTATTGATTTTCGTTTAAACTTCAATGTTTAAGGCCGAGTTGACAGTTCAGGTATTCGGATTTATTATACTGACAAGCTTCGTAAGTACGACAGTGGAATCATGTCAGTTGGAGTGAGAGTAAATAACTGGCATATCATACCTCCTAAGCAGAAGGACTGGGTCAGCGTTGGATACTGCACAGCAGAATGCACTGAGGTATGGTGTACTCCTGCAGTGCTTAAGCGTATATCTTTTATTAGGGGAATAATAACTGCTAAATTTCCAAGGTGAGGAGGTAAAGGAAATAATAAGATATATGATACGGCAGGAAAACCATGACAAGATGCGATTTTGGTTTTATCAACTGAGTTGATAATGCAAACTGACCACCGTAAAGAGTTTCAAAGCTGACGTTTCGAGCGTTAGCCCTCGTCTTTCTCTCAGACTAAGGAGGGCTAACGCTCGAAATTAAACGTCAGCTTTAAAAATCTTTACGGTGGTCAGCTGATAAAACCCAAATTACCTCGTTACTCCCACCGACGCAGCACCACAGTTTCTTTCGAAACTTACCCCCTTTATTCATGACAAGATGTGGTTGTTCTTGTTTGCATTTAGCAAGTCCTATCGTTGTCCGTGCAGCTGTTGCTGTTGTTTCTGTCGTTTCTGCTGTCGATCGGTTGGAATTCTTGATAAAAACCCTGATCCAAAGTTACATTCTAGATCTTCTCTGAGGTCAAAACATTTAAAGCTGAGTCATAAGCGACATAGAGGAAGAAAGATTGTACATTGATATCGAGACCATAAACATACTCTAATGAGCAAGATTTAACCAAATTTCGCATGATGAGTAATAGCTCATGCTTATGACCGAAAAACTCGCGTCTCATGAGATACTAGAGAGATATAGCAAGAGGACGGGAACGTCATTTCAGAACAGGAAAACTTGCC